CCCCCGCCCCCCCACCCACCGGTGCACATCACTATGGCGCCTGATAAACACAGCAGACAGACCGTCTGTCAGTAGCGGAATAATTCCAATCCCCACGCCACCACAATTAACAAATCCCACTATCACAGTACTACTTATTTATTTGTTTACGCTGTTGTTAGCTCTAATACAGATATGCTTCATAAGTTGTGCCCAGAGAACACAATTTAGCTTATTGGCAGTGGTGCTGGGGGGGGTCATTTGTCAAGGATATGAAAGAGATATCAGATGAAAATGCCATCCCTCTGTCGGAAGGAGGGGGGGGGGATTATCCGCATTGTGCTGCAAATGGCTCCTGCTAATGCCCCCCCCCCCCCCCATGCTCTGTTGCTGCTGCTGCCTGTTTTTTTGTCGAGCCGCTAATTACGATTCTGATGTTGCTTCCTTGCAAGAAATGAATGTGGCTTTTCTTACATTGGCCATCTAGCAAAAAAAATGACTTATAGGCCATTATGGTGCCTGCAGTTTTATATATTGCGGGCCGGCGGGGGGGGGGGGGCGATACATTGGGACGGAGAGCAAGAGAATCATCGGTGTCTTTAATCTGTTTTTTTTTTCTGTGCGTCTCAGGTTGGGGATCTGAGATCCATCTAGCTCTTAATTAATAACGGTAAATCGATCGCACATTTGGGTGATAACCAAACCATTAACGAGAGAAAAAAGAGAAGCAAAGGGGTTCCAAAGCTTTTCTGGCCTTGACTCGACTTTGAGGCACCGTTAGCTGCTCTGCCATTAGCCCGCACTGCACCAGTCAATCTGGGGCTGTTTCCTGTGATTCATGAAATCCTCAGTCGCTAATGTTCACTCAAGTTCTCTGTGCAATTTTCAGGTCAAGGCAAATGGATCTGTTTGCAGTACCAAGTCCACATTTGAGATGTCAAAGCTTGTGTCGTCCTTTGTGGTCAGTGGTCTTCTCTGATGTTGGCCGCAGATCATCTAAGGACATGGACCGTATCCTGAAGAAGGTCCAGCATCGTGCCGGAAGCTGGATGACGGTGAAGGTTTGGCCTCCGTAGGACGCTACACCCCCCGTCAGCGGCCAGTCCGCAGCCAGCTGCTCGCGCTCCATGTGCTGTGTTGTGTTTATGAGGTAGCTTTTTGCCAGGGGGGAGAATCTGTTTTCATGAACAGCCCCTAAAACAAGGACGCTCCCCTCGACAAATGCTTGAGTCATTGTTCACTGTTGGATTCTGCTAAATATAGTGCTCAGTTCGTTTCCCCAATGTTTCAATCCTGCTCCTTTTAAAATATTCTGCACAAAGGAGGATGACAAAGAGAAAAAAGGAAAAAAACAGACAAACAAGAAGAGCTGTAAATAATAAAAAAAAAAATTCAGGTCCAGTTATCTTAAAAAATAATCCTAAAAGCCCCTTAGATTCCCAATCATTCTAAAAAAATAGAATAAAAGGCTGTTATGTACCACAAACATTCAGAACGTGGGTCTACACCATAAAGATGAGGTCATTCTCTTACATCTGGGATCAAATTCTGCAGTGGTCAAAAGCTTTTCCTATTCAGGTAAATTTACAAGATGCTAAAATGTGCCGCCATCCTCTCATCATATCGACCCTCCGTGTGTCCTGCACGTATGGCAGAACTGAGAATAAAGACTTTGACTTGACTTGATTATGTGAACCCGTGACCATGTAGACCCTATGAGTGCCACAGTGGTGAGATGGGAGCTGCATCAGCAGATGGAGACATAAAGCCTTAGAGGAAGATGGCTGGAATGAGGAGGGCTGGTGCTTCGGACAGCAGTGTTAACAAGGTGATGTTTGTGGAGGTTTATTTCACAGCAAAGAGCCAGATTAGCAGAGTGAGTGGCAGAGGCAGCGTGATGGAGTCTGCGCTGTGTGATAATGCCCTTATGTTCTGTCTTTTTCTCATTAATCGTAGTGTTTGCTCCTTTCATTTGTTGCATAATGACCTGCCCTGTGAATGAATGCCAGGCATCATTTCTGAAGGTATGTCCTCCGTGACAAATTAAAGGCCGTCCCGATTTCTCTGGTTAGCCTGGAAATCTTCCGGCGATAAGTGTGCACCAAGCAGCTAACCTTCAGAATGCAAATAACTCAGAACTTCATCATTTCATCTCAGTGTAAACTAAATAAAGGTCAGGGCAGGGTGACCTCACTGCTCCTTCACGTGTTCAGTGGTGTCCCAGCTTCTGCACATCTTCTCTGTTGCTTGGAGAAAATGAGAAAAGCTCAGGACAGCAAGAACAACCATTCCGGAAGCTTGAATAGACACCCTCTGGGTTTAATGAGATCACCAAATTTTGGGGAAAGAACTTCCCTTCAATGTGAGATTATTGCTAGATGGCACAGATACTGCTATCATGTTTTATGAGACTGAGACTCTGGGACGTGAATCTAGCTTTCAGCTTCAGGGATGATGGAGAAACCAAGCAACGGATCTTGAAAGACATGGATTTTCTTTCTTTGGGGCTGAGCCCTGTCCTTTTGCATTTGTCCTACTTCATCCATTTGTATCCAGGCTTCACGATCGTTCAACCCCCCCCCAGAATGACATACTAGTGTAAAGTGAGATAGAATCCACAGGGGACTGTGGTAGGACTGCAATTATGGCTATTTTCAGAAGAGCCCCCCGTGATGCATTATTTAGGTGGGATGTTGTTCTTCAGCAGAACAGACTGTGTTCCCTAATAACGGGGACCATGTCGGTCAATCTTCCATCTCTGCAGATGGAAGATTGAACGCCCCCCTTTCATCCTCGGTAAACAACTCGCCCTTATTTACATACTGACGCACAAATCCTCAAGCGAGTCTTTTTAAGCGCTATACACATAATTTTGACTTTGTCTAAATCAAAATTGATAGCATTGAGAAAACCTATATTACCGATATTTCTGTTTTAAAAATGTCAGCCGAGGTGATTAAACTCCAGATCACAACCAGTTTATGCAACGTATTCTCTGATGGAGTTGTCAGTTTTACTAAAAATCTGCGAAGATGTGAACGGGTCTACATTAAACCCGTTCGTGTGAAGTACAGGAAAGTAACCGAGACACTGGTGTGTAAGTCTCTGCTTTAGCTAGTCTGAGTGGGCAACAAGGTTTTAGCGCCTCCTGGTGGTAAGACATCGATCTCGATCTCTCTGCGAAGGAACCGCTGTTTTGATCTGGTACGATCTCAACAGACATGTCATTTTTCAGTTCCTCTACAACGTTTAAACAAAAATTACATTTCTTAATTTTATTTGAGTGTTTCCAAATATATGTTGCTTTCAGCTTATCTCATTTGCTGTAGCATTTTGTAAAATCAGCACAGTGCTTATGTGAATAACTTAACATCCCGAATATCAATATGGCAATGGCGTCTTGATTCAATATATTCTAGTCTAAGAAAATCGTCAGTTGTGTAAAAAACGCACAGCAGTGTCATACGCCTATCTTTGAGTGCAAAGGAAGACTAAAAAGTACGGTATATTTTGTAGATCATGTGTAAAATGGAATTAGAAAAACATTTACGGATGACCGCGCATGAATGCCTTGTTTTTAAATGTGTGATGTTTTTACGTACATTTGTGAACATGAAGACAGCGTGTCTACATGTGTTTGTGGCTTTCTGACCATTGATCAGCTCCCTTTGCCTGAACTGTTACCCTGAATTACCCTTGCATGTACCTTAGTACAATACAATCACTCATTTCAATTTTTAGCTTTAGTATACATATCGCTATTTTAACATTTATTATAGTATGAACAATATGTATACAATTTACTATTCTTAACTGACGAAACTGATCTCCTTGTAAATATGTCTATACACCAGTTCGGTGGACTTATTTGCAAATCTTGGCCGAGATCCTTTTTATTCACTTTTAGGATGTTATTGAGATTCTGTAAAATTTTCCTGGTCTATTATTTTAAGGAAACAAGTACTTAAGCTCAAATGTAACACTACAGAATAAGTTTTTGAGGAATTTATAAGAAAATTATTCATTCTTAATCAGTGTAATTTTTGTAAGGTAGACCCAAAAACCGCAGGTGTAACCACGTGACGGAGACGAGAGCGTATGATTGGCTGCCGCTAGTCATGTGGTGAGGATTAATGTCGCACTTTTAGCTTCTGTACTATGCAAATGTTGGCATATATTGTGATGTTTGCATATATTCCTGCAGCTTTGTCCCACTAAAGGCCAAGTCACTTCCCCGGTGTACTAGAGAGCATGTTTGGCTGAATGTATACATTGAAATAATGCTCCTGTACCTCCTCCCGGTAACAGAATGTAAAAAATATACATTTCTCTAGACAGCAAAAAAAAAAAAAAAAAAAAACCTGCCGGAAAATCAGAGTATATGCCCATAATATATTTACCTATGGTTAATTACCGTGACTGTGTCTTATTTTGTTTCGTTTCCCTGAAGGTTGTTGGTTTCATTTCCCTGTTGGTTTTAATTGCTTTATTTTATGTGCTTCAAGTTGTAAGATGATTAACTTGCAATGAGGAAATGTTTTAGCAGAGGTGAATCCCTAAAAATGCCCTCAGAGGATGTTAACGTGCCGACGCGAAGCTGTAACGAAATTCTTTGGTTGCATGTTGTATTAGTGAAATATAAATAAAACACATATGATTACACTCAGTTAAAATTAATATTAAAAGACTGTAATGGTGGCTACATTTTCACATTTATGCGCGCACACACACACACAAACACAGAGTGCAAAACAGTGATTAATGCACCCGCGGTTATTGAATACACATACATCTGTAAGACCCAGGTTTATTGTTGGTCATTAATCTGATTAATGCAATAGTTAAATCTGGTTAGTGTCTTCGCTTTGATGGGAAGCACGAGAGCCTTGGAAGTTTAATCTATTTTTGATACAACAATACTCCCGTGTAACTTTGGTGCGGGACTGTGGGACTTCGGCAAGCACCGGCAGTATTTTTTTCACTTTACTTTTCATCACCCCCCCCCCCCCTTTGCCATGCAGCATCTTCACGTTGGGAGCGCCGCAGCCCCCATGCCGGCGCCGGGTCTCCGCACGATCGGAGCGCGTCCAACGCGCCTGCGCAGTGCGCCTCCGCCACCTCGGTGCTGAAGTTGGGCGGATTGGAGGAAAAACACCTCCGATGGAAATCACGGCGGCGGCGGCGTGCATCCGGACCGTGCGGAACAGCCATCGGGCAGCATCTCGGCGCGCCTCGGATCAATCGCGGCAGCAGACTGTCATCTTACATTTAAAAAGGGTAAGGAGCTACATGTATCCCCACTACATGTATTACATGTCATGGTAATTCCACAGAAGCTGTTGCTTTTTTCATCGTGCAGAGAAAAAGGGGTGAGATACAGCGTATACTGGAGGGGTCGTGCTTGTTTTGGTATCTTTTTTCACTCGGAGTAGGGGTACTTTCTTCCCCGCCCCCCTTCCCCTGGCCGGAATTGAGAGGCTTGGTTCTGGTCGTGGCGCCTTGCCCTGCTTCAGATGACCGGGACTGCTTGGGGCCAGCTGCGGCTGCGGCGCAGACACACCGGCGCAGAACGGCCGCATCCCGGCGCCCTAATGCACAATCCCGCCGGGAAAGGGGGAGAAGAGAACCAAAATGTACCGGCGCTGTCATTAGCCGGGACCGAGCTGTCGGCCCGCTTTGCTAACGCTGATCCAGCCTGAGAAAATGTGGGCATGTCCTCTTGCTGTAATCGGAAGATTTTTTTAAACCCCCCTTTTCCCGTTGTACGGTTTCAAATAACGAAAACGCCCACAATGTACACCGCCGAGAATTGACAGTACATTTAATTCGATCGATCTATCTATCTATCTATCTATCTATCTATCTATCTATCTATCTATCTATCTATCTATCTATCTATCTGTCAGTGTTAATTAGGTACAGATTTCATTTTGCAAATTGGAAAGTCTGCGTCTATGTGATTATGTCAGCAGTTTTGATGACATGCATATGCGATTATAACTAATTTGCTAATTGTATGCATTTTTAATTTCAGCCTAATCTGGAGCGGCAGCCTTTAGCTACCTGTCAAATGTCAGATGGCTAAACGTGTGTTCGCCCTGTTTTATCCGATGCAGTGTTTTTTCTTTATTGTTCCAGATGGTTTTACAGATCAGCGGTGCTGCGTCCGAAAAGAGATTTTTTGTTGCAATTGGAAACGATCTCCTTGAGATTTTGAATAATAAACTATGTTTAAAAAAACGAGCAACCCATGCCAGCATTTTGATAAATTCAAACTTGATTCCTGTAAAATTAAAACGCTGCCGATAAATTTCTATTTAAGTCTGGTGTTAGTCATTTGTTCAGCCCTACTCCATTGAAGAACAGATGCTTCTGCAGACTAGTCATAAAACACACACACACACACACACACACACAC